CAGATTTTCAAAATGATCTTGTTGTGTGAGCAGTGGATCAGACTTTAAACCTTTCTGTCATGTTTGGTTTCTGTAGATTGAAGCTTCTGGCAAAAAAATTAAGACCTGAACTTTTCCAATATGTTTACGGAGGAGGATCCATCAGAGGCTCTGGATCTACAAACAGTGCACGGTATTCAGGGAGCGGATCATATCGATAGCCAGACTAATGGAAATGACCATGAAGAAAGTAACTGTTCATGCTGCCAAAGATTCATGCTAATCCAGCAAACCTGGTTATAAATATTGTACTGTACATATGGGAGAACACACAACAAAAGAAAAATAATGATTTGTCAACACAAGGCAGCTTCATGAGTCAGAACATGAGCTGATCCTCTTCAGTGATTGGCTGAATTGTGTGTTCCTGTTTTATATTGAGCCATTCATAATATCTATATACATGTATACTGTATATGTCCAAAATATTGTGAAAATGCAGCTCTGTATTGTCTTGTTTGTGTTTTATTTGTGACAATATTTTTTGTTGAGACATGAAGTCAGATTAAGAATGTGGGCTCATTCTGTTGTGTGTTTTTTTTTAACTAGACTACATTTTTTAAAACACAATTAATGAACAGAAATGGCTCCACTGGTCACGTTGCCTTGGAGATGAATTCCCACTTCATACATTTTCAGTGTGGGAGGGAGATTTTTTAATAACTTCCCTTCAATCCTAAAAATACCTTTCCTAGTAACAATTAAGAAAAGAATATGATTATGTCATTTGTTTGATGTTTTTGGTGTTTGTCCGAGAGATAAAAAGCCAGACGATGTTTATTTCATTAGCACTATAAATTGTTATGAGTACATAAAGATGTATTAGTAAATTTTTTTTTGTTGTGTTGTGTTTAAAAATGATTACTGAATACACTATTTTATTTTTCTTCTACAATAAAGAAATAAAAGCTTTCTGTTTATATTTGTGGAATTCATAAAGATGTAAATTAGGGAGCACAACAACTATTAGGCTTTTACTCAACGCTGACTTTAGATTTTGAACGTAAAATTTGTTTACCTGTTTATATTGTATAAACTGTGTCTGTTTATGTGGAATGTCTCACAGTATGTGATCAGTAACATCGGCCCATCTCTTTCAGTATTTTCTATTACACAACATATTAATATTTTCTCTGTGTAGAGGCCAGAAAACATAATTAAAGACTCAATGATGTTCTGTTCCCAGGAAAAACCAGATTAAAAGTATCAGACAGAAAACTAATATAAATGCATTTCATACCATGCAGTCCTAATGTGGTATTTATAGTCCATTTAATATAAGGTGATTCTGGTATTTGTACATGGGTTATGTTCAGTGTAGGACAGGAAACGGATCTCATTCATTAAATTATTACAGAGCAGTTCACAGTTTGACTTTAGTTAAGACCAACAGAGAGGCTTTGTGTTAGGTTTGAGTTTCTGAGCAAACAAACTGTTTTGGTTTTGCAGTAGCACACTTTAACTTGTGCTAATGTTAAGATACTAAATGTATGTCCTTAAAGTTCTTTCTACATGTAAGAATCAAAAGCTGGTATGGATCCATCAAGACCTAATGTAACATCTAAGATATTAAACTCTGAAATGTTTTGTTGTTTCTAACGTGTTTTCTGAAGAGCTCTACTGGCTACATGCATTTTCTCATGTGGTTCGTGTCTGAGAAGCTGAAATTATCACCAGCATCTGTAGCGTCTAAAACAAAACACAGAACAGCACTGAGAAAACTGACACGTGTCCTTATGAAAATAGTTCATGCAGCAGTCAGGACATTTGTGGTTTTTAACTTCTGTGTGTGAGAGATTCCAACAACATCCACTTCAACCATGAACATGATGTAGACAGGCCTGACACCTAAAACGCAACCTGAGCAAGAGTTGTTCCTCCATCACTCGTCTGGCAAAACAGACCCAAGATGGATGTTGTCTGTATCATTATCTCACTGAAGTCCTTCCATTTGATCATTTATCAGTCAGTTACTTCTATATATCAGCATCAGTTATTTTTGTGTCACCCTGAGTTTCCCACAGTGCCGTAGTCCCTCCGTCACAGCGAGGACTGGACTCTCCAGAATCACAGAACCCACTGAAAAACTAAGGTTTTAGATCTTATGCTGAGAATTGATGAAATACACTCATCAGCTCGTTTCGTGGGAGTTGGATAGGAAGACTGATCATTTTTCTATTGACAGAACCATCCTCTTTCAAAATATTGGATTTCATGCAATGACAGTCAGTCAGTGACAGTGATGTTGACACTCTTGCTTCTCTCTCCCGCTTTATTTTCACACCAGTATTTTCCACTGTATGCTTGATAAGCTCTAGGAACAGTGCAATTAACTATCGACGTCTCCTTAAATTCACACGGTAAAATGAATCCCTCAGAGTTCCTGATCCCTCTCAACTGAGTGAAGTCGTTCAGACCTTCGCAGTGAAAGGAGACAAACTCGTGTTCAAAGAGCTGAATTCTGTTTGGAACAATGTGAAAAACTGCATCTGAGATGGAGACACAGTTGTTCATGTGAAGTTGAAACTGAACCATCCACAAAATATATATTTTAACCGCAGCACAATTCAATTTCAGGAAAAACAAAAATATAGAAGCTCATATTACATCATGGAGACAGAAAAAGAAGTGTGTCTTCAGAATGAATAGCTACTAACCGTTTATCTGGACCTGATCAGTCAGCAGGATGAAAAAAAACACCACTGGGCAGAAAACAGAAGAAAACTTTATCAGATGCTTTTAAATCCAGGAATCTATGAAACTTTAGTAGAAGAAGTCAATAACGTTGTTACTCAGTACTCAGTCTGAAGCAGAGAGCTGTGACCTCCATGTTGTCTTGCTGCCAATTGAGCATCACACTGAAATCCAGCTTCAGTGTAGACTACATGAGCACTTCCTCTTCCTGTGCAGTTCTTCCTGCTTCACTCTCAACACAATATTCTGGCTGATGAGCATTCGGTCACTGCTCCTTTTCTGAAGAAAATCTTGACTTTTCAACCAGGTTTTCACTAAAATCTAAAGATATATAAATATATTAATACAAAGTAACATGGAACCACACCCATGTGGGCTCACCTCCAGTTGCCCGTCTACTGGCAGGTCAAAGTGTTGGTCGTCACTGGCACAGACAAAACACTGAAACTACAAACTGTCTCTCAGTATGGACATGAGGGGGCTTCTCATATACACTTACTGTAGCACCGCATCAGTACTGGATAACAGCACCCCCCACTGGCAGCATCACTCAACACATCCACATACACATTATTGGTGTCTTTAGTACAAAAGTACAAAAGTATTGGCAAGATTAATAAATGAAAAACCAAGTAAAGAATGGCCCATTATCAGACCAACATAAATGATCTTATTTTATGATAATTACTGATGAATTCATTCTAATGCTAGAGCTGCAGAGGTGTTGCTAACATTAAGCACTTTAGTGAATGCTGGGTAGCTTGAGAGTTTCATTATTTAAAGACCAATCATCATGCCGAGCTCAACCTCCTGCTGGTGGTTTCCAGTAGGTCAGCGAGATCCACTTGTCATCAGTAGGTGAGTGTTCCACCTGTTTGATTTCTCTAAATCTGCAGTGTCTCTCAGTTTGTGAACTGTTCAGACTACAGAGACACATTGTCGTCTCTCATAATGGTTTTGATTGCAGCTGTAATATTTTATACGGGTGATCAACTGGCAACAAGCTCAAAGTTCAGTTAGTTACAAAAGACACTTATAGTGTAACTTTGTCTGTTAAAGCAGAAACAATCACTGCACTGTGTTTTAAATATAACTAATGCTTTGAAAGGTAGTTTAACAGTTTTGGATTTGAATTAGTAAGTTGTTATTAAATAGATATTACACCTGAAGACTTCTGTACCAATGGCTGTAGCTATTTCACCCTTCAATCAGCTTCCACAATGTTTGAGATACAATCAAGAGCCGTTACTATTCAATTTGTTTTACAAACTAAATCCAATGCATGAAATTCTGCAACTGATAAACCAAAACAAAAAAATTATGAACTTTACTATATTTGACAAAATGCTGTAAATATTTTTTGTCAATTAATGGTTCAAACATATTTCTCATAGTCTAACTGTTGCACAATTTTGAACTTACAATATAAAAATATAGTTATACACTACTCCTGTTGTATTTAAGATATAGCTGTTGATTGGTTTTAATTATTCACTTGCACACACTCTCATAAGTGATTTAAACCAATGCCACGCTAAGAATGTAACATAAAAAGCAGTCAAGTGTGTGAACATTAAAAAAAAAAAATCTGGCGAATGAAAAGATAAAAGCAATCTATTCAGTAATAAAATTAAAAGCTTTTTTTACTTTTTTCATTACACATTAATGAAAACTTTTTAAGTTTGCATGAATTTCATTTATGTTCTGGTGCTTTACTTCAGCATGTGTTAATAAAAAGCATTATTGTCACATCGTCATGGTCCACCAGAAAAAAGTGTACAGTAGTATGTTTAGAGCTGTAAAGGCTATTGTATATATTTAAGCAACCACACAAAATTAACAGTCAGAAATCACAGCGACACATATAAAACCACAAATACGTCTCATCATATCATTACAACATTAAAAATACATGACACTAAAAAGCTGTTAGAAAACGCAATCTTCATTGAATATTTGTGGACTGTCTCCCTGTCTGTTATCTGTCACCCGCAGATTACACCGTGACCATTTTCTTCACCTTCCTTATTTACATGTTTTGTTGTATCTCTTTTCAAATGTTGTCCATCAGAAAGAGGTCTGACACACAAACACTGTGCTGGGCTGAAATCTTCATCCTCTCATCTGTAAATGTTCTTAAAAGACAACCTGGAAGATGTGAACAGATTAAAAACCCCACGTGTTCCATGTGCTGTGGAGTGTTGAAAGCCTTCACGTTGACAAATTCTTTAGCCATTAGGTATGCTGCAAGAGAGAATTAATTTATCTCATTTCATAGGATTTGTTTTGTCTTGTTTTATTCCCCCTGCATCTCCTGTTTCTGTCCCTTTTTCCTGTAGCTGTTGTTCAATTTCCTCCATGTAGTCCTCTAGTTTGTTCTTTTCTGCAATTCTTTTAATTTGCTCAGATGTTATCATCATTAGGTTGGATGTGGTCATTTGCAGTTCCTGAAATGCTTTCTTTCTCTCTTCTCCTTTAGAGTTGCCCTCTGTTATGATTTCCATTAGTTTTAAATATCCATTTGCTTTGTTAGCCGTCTTATCTCCCTCCTTTTCTGTTACTCCTTTCTCTACTGATTTAACCTCTTGTTCAGTCTCCTCTACCTCTTTCTCAGCTTTCTGCATTTGGGAAGTAAGTTGCATTTTCTGCTTCTGCAGTTCCTTCCTCAGTCCCACCAGAGAATCAATCAACTGCACCACATCTTTCTGTTCCGCTTTTTTCTTTTCCAAATCCTCCGTTCTCTTCAGTTCTCCACCTCCCATTAAAGGCCGATGTTCTGTGCTATTATTAGTAGCTTTGGTTCTCTCCGCTTGCTCCTCATTCATGTCTCGACACGGCATCTCTGTGGGAAAAAAAAATGGTAGAGTATGTTAAAGTTTGATGCCGCTGTGATTTTGCATTGTTAGTATTTAAAAAGGAAAAACAACAGAGACACAGATGCACAACAACAGCAAATGAGTTCTGCTATAAAAATGTTAAAGCATAGGCTAATAATTCATGACAATTCATTTGTATCAACTTTCTAATTGCACAGGTACCAACACTGTATCTTTACCTAAACCTGTACCTAAGAAAACTGGTAGGTAAAGTAGTTTTGAGATTAACTGGTGCACCATAGCACAATAAGTTAAGGGCTTTGATAGAAAAATTAATGTTTTTTTGACTCACTGATTTTGTTTTGTCTCCAGACAGAAAAGGAAACTGCAATAATTAACATTAAGCAGAACACCACACTGAAGCTGATAGAAGCTGCACAATTAGATGTGGCCATGAAGAAATCATCTGAAATAAAAGAACAAAGAACACTGTATTCATAGAAATCCAGAGTAAAGTGAAGCTCAACTTTGACCATTTTATAATTGTAGAAATTATTTCTACCTGGAACATGAATCTGTGTCTCTCTGGTCTGGTTGATGATCTTCTGTTGGACTCTACAGGTGAAGTTGTTGCTGTGTCTCTTCTCCACAGTCACTCTGCTGCTGACAGTATAGAGGTCATCAGGACCTCGGACTGTCTCTGTAGGTCCAGCAGAGAGGAACTTTCCCTCACCGTCCAGCCACAGCACCTCTGGCTCTGGATGCCAGCCTTTAGACTCACACTGTAACACCACTCTACCACTGTCTTTATGAAGCCTTGCTAAACTGATACCAGGTGAGGAGATGGCAGCTGTTGATAAGGAGACAATGCAAACAGCGTTTACTTACACAATCCTCAAGTCACATTTTTTACAAAAGAACAAGAAAATAACTGAGATTAGGTTTTCTGTGTAGCCTAAAAACAAATGGCAATGAACCAAAACATGTTCAAGTCTCTTAGAGTAAGACACTCACCAACAAGAAGCTCTACAAAATATTGTTTACTCTGTTTTGGAATGTAACATCTGTAGGTTCCATGATCAGAGACTTTCACTTTGGAGAGTTTCAGTGAAATGTCTCCATGCTTCAGTTTGTCGATGGCCAACGATGTTCTTCCCTCGTAGGCCGTATTTTGGTCATCCAGAAGCGCCTTACCATCGTGCCACACGTATATAAACCTGGGGTCCAAGTCAAGTCTCCCCCATTCCATTGTCATTTTAAAAGCATCCATGGCAGGTTCCAGCTGACAAGGCAAAACGGTGTCATCGCCAACCATTACCACGACCGGCTGGGGGGGATCAACCTGCGTCTGACCTGGAAATAAATAGGTCCATTTCAAATTCTGTCTCCAGGATAAACACACTCACCTCTGTCAGGCTGAACATGAATCATCTTGGCTTCTGTTGTGCCTCTAGATTTTCAGAATTTTCTAGTAGGCAATCATTTACCTGTATTTACATGCAGGTGCTGGTTTTAGTGTTTCACTTCACCATTATTTAGCAGTTGTGACGTAACAGAATGGAGCCTTATGTTGTTCAAATGGTTTCATATTTTTCACATTTTAAATTTAGTGTTTACACAATAAGGCGACATCACAGAACTAGCACAGAAAAGACTGGCCATGGTGGCCGAGCTTTTAAGGTGTCGACAATGAGCTTATGCCAACCCAAGGCCCTGTTAACTCTCTCCTGCCAGCTAACAAATCCATTAAAATCAATGAATGGCCTTCAAAAGAATAAATAAGTAAAAATCAAAGAGAAAAACATTCCCAGATATTCAGAGGTAACCCTCAAAAACTAATCTTCATCGGACTATGTGGGTGTGGTTTAGTCCGATCTGACTGACAGTGGCCACATAAGCAAACAACCAATCAACTGTCACCAGAGTCCAATTTAAAAGTTGCTAAATCCTAAAAGTTCTAAGAGCAATGTGATATCACCTTTATCAAACTGAGGCTCGCCAACTTCAAACCGGCGAAAGAATCAGAGAATAAGAAATGTTTTATGTGAAATACGCTGTTCTGTTGTGTGTTTTTGTAGGATCCCATCTCTCACAGACACATCTAACACCAAGTGTGTCAGAGCCCTTAAACACATACTACAATGTGTAAGTTACCTCCACAAAAGTGTGTTAGGAGTAAGAAGACAACGTGCCGGAAAACTGGAATACTGGTGGCTCTGAGCGGAGACTTAAAAGACTGTCCATCCTTTACGTGAATCATCCTGGAGAGTCAAACATTTAAAATACACAAGTATACATTAAACAGAACATTTCATTTTAAAACAGACTGTTTTAGCGTGGAACATTAACATTCACTAAGATTGTGAAATACTATTCACAAGATTAAATGTAAAGTAACAACAAGCAAATGTGATACCAACAGTAGCAATGGTAGCCTAATTCCACATTTGCTCGTCATAACTTTACGATCTATCACATTCGTTCTGCTGTGAAGTACCTGCTTCATATACGGCACACATATATATATGTATATATAATATTATGTATTTGTTAGGTATATAAAGGTATGTAATACGTACCTTATAGGATTAGTACTGATAATATATATACATATAGTATATTATATATATTCCATATATTTATATATATATATATATATATATATATATATAAAGCTTTACAACTTACATTACAAATTAAATGGTGAAAATCCCACATACCTGTTGCGTGCAGTAAAGCGATGCCTCGCCTCTCACTGTGCTGCATGGGTTTGTACTTTGACCATGGTCATGTATAATAAAATAAGGTGTGTTCACTTTTTCCATTTACATGCGGGTGTGCATGAAATTATTCCTGGCTATGCTTTGAACTATTCCTCTGCAACACTATGAATTTCTAAGTAGCTAAAGCTTAGCCAGAGTTGTAGAAAATTAGAGTTCAACCTAATGTAGAAAATAAAATACAATGCAAAGATGATCAGATTTGGTCTAAGGATTAACTGGCTCTTGGTTGCTTCATTATATCCAGGAGAACAGTGACGGGTTAATATTTAATCATAGGTCAGTTATACTCCCATAAAAACAGGAATGGACATCTGTTTCGTTATTACACGTTATTTGAAATACTTTTTCACTGAGGAGGTTGCACATTAAAAAAAAAAAAAAAAAAAGTTAAACACCTATTTGAATTTTCACATCTTAGTCTGTAGCCAGTGGTGGAGGACGGAACCAAGTGAAGAGAGCACAGACCACAAAGCAGGCAATAGTAGACATCCATTGTAAAAAGGAATTTTAATGTAGAAAATATTACCAAAGTCCTGATGACCTCTTTATGTTCTGACATCTTATTGACTGTACATGTTTGCATATTTGAACGTTGTTGAAAACAAGTAACAAGTTCCCACCAACACAACTACTTAACCGAGTGAAAGTTTAAGCTGCAGCCAGTTATAATAAACATATCTCATCCAGCTTCATCTTGAATCTTTGCCCTGATGTTCTTAAGGTCAAAACCTGCACTACTTCTCCCCATGTGGTTTCAAACTAGCTTGGTTTGTCATTTTATTTAAAGTGTTTCCAATTTTCAAATACTAATAAATGTTCACTTGTAATAGTGTAATGTGTGTGGATTCCAATTAGGATCCTTGAATACGGTGCACAATACACCTATATGTCATAACAGATATATTTAAATTTCACATCAGTCCCAGAGAGTATGAATCAGGCAGATCCCGGCTGTGCTACTGTATGATGATATGAAACTCTCTTTTAGACTTTTTCAGTGACAGATTAATTTTGCCGCCTTTTTTCTTCCTCTGACAAGTCACTTCTGCACATCTTCCTTCATTCTAGTAACCAGAATCTCTATTGGCTCCATCAGTTTCTCAGAGTACAGTAGTTGCCTCTTAGTGTCTTTCTTTGTCTGGTCCAGTTTCCACTGGGCTTGTAACAAGTTTTCTTTCTCTCTTAATAATTCCTCTGGTTTGTCAAAAGTCATCTCCCTCTCTGTTATTTCCTGCTCCACTGAATGAAGCTGCTGCTTGTTTTCTTCTTTCTCCCCCTCCACCTCCTCCAACAGGACTTTGAGCTGACCCTTCTGGTTCTCCAGCTCAGCCTTCACCTCCATCAGTGCTGTCACCACATCTTCTTTCTCTTCGTCTTTCTGTGCATTTTTATTCATCAATTCTGCTTTCTCACCTTTTATGGAGAAACAATGTGAGAAATGTGAGTAAAGTTTAAACTAAAAACCACCAGTAATTGAGTTTACATTAATTTTTTATGTGAAAAATTAGACAAAGAACACATTTAAAATTGGACTGGTGGATGAAATGCTAGTTTTAATAATGTCAAAGGTGTTTCATGTTTATCATCTGTAAATGAATCAAACTGCATATCATTAAAATAAAAAAATAAAAAAAATACAATCTTACGTTTCCATTTATACGCAGTATAAACAGCCAAAATACCACTAAGGGCGAGTTCAAAAAGGCCATGTGCTGAGAACATGTGACAGTACACCGTGGAAATGGATGCAACCACATCAACTGAAATGAAAGCAGAGCAAAATAGATTTCAAATGGAGCACTTTTTCAAAAAAAGTTAATTGAGTAATAATGTAATAGGAGAAATCACTTACAGAAAAATATCTATCTTTAAGATTAAAGTAATGACAGCAATCTAAGATTCATGCTTTGGTTCTGTAGAAAATTAAAGTTTGTTGCAGAAAATGCACCTTGATCATACATTTGTAAAATACATTACATATGAAAAAACAATGTTATCTATATTTATTTATATGAATTTACATGTAGAAATCATATCACACTAAATTCATCCAAGTTTAATGACTGAAGTCAGACATTTTCTATTTGAGAACCACTAAATATTACAGTAAAACTAGAATCAAACTGAGCATAACACAGGTGTATTATGTTACCTCCACAGGTGTGTATAAGAACAAGGAAGAAAACAGTGTCATGGGAAAGTGACCCAGTGAAGGTAGTCAGCGGCGGTTTGAAGATTAGTTCCTCCTTCGAGTTCACCTTTGTGAATTTCTGAAAAATGAAATAAACCAGCTGTAATTCCCAGAGAGAATGGGTCATACAGGTGTAAAAAACAAAATTTAAAAAATGTTTGGTATAACACAATATTCAAAATCTACATGTTTAAATATGTTCGTCACAAGGATAATAATGAACTTGTGAAAAATGCTACAAATGCACGGAATTGAAAAAAGGTGCACTGCTAAATCAGTGGCGTACTCTTAACCCCTGGTCCACTAAGGCCCCCCGACTTTGTATTCTAAATAAACAGCTTACATATTTTACTTATTTTCTGTCACTAGCTATGCGCACATCACATTATGTCCATCAATTTTTATGTATATTACTTGAATGCTTCATTAAATGAAATGTCAGTCGCTACAACAATGTTTTGATTGTAGCAAAGGCAATGACTGTATAGCTGAGTCAGAGCGTCTATAAAAAAGATTGACAGTAGACAGTTGAAAAAAAGCTACCTTTTCATGTTGTAGCTTATTATCATCCATCATAACCTCTGGATATTTCTTCTGTTCAGTCAATGGAGCTTCCTGTTCTTTCATTTTGGTCTGTTTTTCAAACAGTGAATCTATCTTGTCATGATCCATTTTCTCCAATGGTGGGTCTAAAATTAAACCAGACACAAAAGCACAAAATGATTGTGATGGTAAACCTGAAAACACTGTATCGTTATATGGGAAAGAGTAAAAACATTGAAGCCAATAAGACATTCACTTTTATTCCAAAAAGAAGTATAAGCAGTGAAATACAACTGCTCATCTGTAAGGTGATCACATGTATTTAAATATTTTAAACAATGAACATTTAATTATTGTTTTTTTAATGAAAATCCTCATATAACCATAACCACAAAGATGTGTGACTTACTTTTCCATGTGCAGATAAACAAGACAACTGGAACAGCAAGCAGGAATTTACTCGCGATCATGATGATATAAGAAGTAGTACTGGGGGAGACGAAGTCAGCTGGAATGATGAAACAAAACAAGATGGCACGCAAAGACACTTTAGATGGCTTTTACAGAAAACCATGAATGCTGAAAATCCAGGTGTGACAATAGGTGTAGAATAACATTTCAGATTTGTGTTCTGAAAACTGACAGGACTCGCTGCTGAAGACACATTGTCAAGACATTTTCAAAATACAAATATTAAAATTAAAGAGTTGTATACTCCAAAAGAGTACATACCTGCTACATGCATCAAAGGCCACTCATCTCAGTAACGTGTGCTGCACTGTCAGTCCTCAGATAAAA